GAGGACGTTATGGAAACTTCTTCGACACTACGGAGTTCCTGAGAAGATTGTCAACATTATCCGGAACTCATACGACGGACTACAGTGCAAAGTCGTGCATGGAGGACAGCTGACAGATGCATTCCAAGTAAGGACCGGAGTCAGACAAGGCTGTTTACTCTCTCCCTTCCTCTTTCTTCTGGTGGTCGACTGGATTATGAAGACCTCGACATCTGAAGGAAAACACGGAATTCAATGGACAGCTCAGAATCAATTAGACGATTTGGACTTCGCAGATGACCTAGCCCTCCTATCACGTACACATGAACAGATGCAGATGAAGACAGCCAGTGTAGCAGCAGTCTCTGCATCAGTAGGCCTCAGCATACACAAAGGGAAAACCAAAGTCCTCAAATTCAAAGCGGAAATCAACAACCCAATCACTCTTGATGGCGAAACTCTGGAAAATGTAGAGTCCTTCACATACCTGGGAAGCATCATCGATGAACAAGGAGGTTCAGATGCAGACGTAAAGGCAAGGATTGGCAAAGCAAGGACAGCATTCCTACAGTTAAAGAACATATGGAACTCAAAACAACTTTCAACCAATATCAAAGTGAGAATCTTCAATACCAACGTCAAGGCAGTTCTACTGTATGGAGCTGAAACTTGGAGAACTACAACAACAACCATCAAGAAGGTACAAGTATTTATAAATAGTTGTCTACGCAAGATACTCAACATCCATTGGCCGGATACCATCAGCAATAGCCTTCTGTGGGAGAGAACAAACCAACTTCCAGCTGAAGAAGAAATTAGGAAAAGACGATGGAAATGGATAGGACATACATTACGCAAATCGTCAAACTGCATCACGAGACAAGCCCTAACTTAGAATCCTGAAGGGAAGCGAACAAGAGGGAGGCCAAAGAACACATTGCGTCGGATAATAGAAGCAGATATGAAAACGATGAATTACAACTGGACGCAGCTAGAAAGGATTGCCCAGGACAGGGTTGGATGGAGAATGCTGGTGAGCAGCCTATGCTCCTTCACGAGGAGTAACAGGCGTAAGTAAGTAAGTAAGTGAATCTCATCAATTACAAATTAAACTAATCCGTACAAAACTTTAAAAAAAAACTATTCTTAAATGTTTGAGTGGTAACTGCAGTAAAATAGATTAAGTTTGTTTGTATTTGTCATATGATTTGAAAATATCTAAGTTATTTGTTTTTTTATTATGAATAAACCGTTGTGTGCATGCCAATATATATACTCATATGTGGTTTAATCGCTGAGTGACAGTAGAAATACTCATTAGGAAAAATGTATACACATCAGTAACATATATGTATAATCCAGACAGCTCTATATTCCTTATCGTTAATATATATATATATATATATATATATATATATATATATATATATATATATATTCAATGAATGTGTAACTGCTGAACGATAGAATCAATATTGAATCAGTAGTCTATGAAGTTGATTTGAGTTTCAAAAGTTTTCATAATAAAATACAAGCTTTAAAATACCTACATATATGTTACATAATGGATCTAAGTATAGAATATAGGGATCATGAGTATCATACATAGAAAATATCCTTCAAAATAGAACGGATTCATTCAATAACTAATGAATTCATAATCTGATAGAATGTTTTGATCTAGATTCACTTAGGCTACAAACTACGTTTATTCAGGTGTTCAGATTACATAACAAATATTTCAATCATATCAGTAACCAAGCTTTGTGAAGTTATTTTCACACAGCTCAGAAAAGTGAAAAGGAAACAGACCTTGGACATCTAACTTTCATTCACCTGGTTTTACTTATTCTCTTAGAGAGTAAAAACAAAACATTGGGCATAATAATATGAATTCATTGTACTTAGTTAGATTCTCATTAGGTGCTCACAACTTATAATACTTTCAAATCAAGATTATCATAAATTTCACAAACTTATAACAGTAAAGTTATATATGTGGCGTCATGGTAGAGTATTGATTCGAATTTGATGAAACTAAAAACATATAAAGAGAGCTGTAAACAAAGATGACGAGTAAGAGAACATTCTAGATCACCAGAAATAATAACAAGAGACCATAAAGCTAAAAAAATAACGTTGTTGTGTAATGAAGTAGCTGGACACAAATTAATAGCAATTAAGAACAACAAGAGTTAACATCAGTTAGTTAAAAACAAATTATGGATTTGAGAAAAGTGATGTGATCAAAATAAAAATGAAAACTTGCATGATTGATGTAACTTGATGGCCTACTTGAACATGTGAACTACTTGATCCTATCATCTTGATATTTCAACAAGTTATCTAATGTTGCTCGTTTTAATACATCATGATGGCTATTAATCATATGACCTATTTAGGTGAGTTTGTGAAAAGTGTACAACCTTTCGTTGTACAAGTTACAACAGGACCCAATCAGAGATATCATGGTTGTTGGCAATATGCATTGAAAAGAATGTACATTATTGAGATGTCAATTGACTGGACTGCTAACTTTTAACTGACGATCACTCAATATTTATCGTCAGGATCGATGAAGAATTAATAATGATCAGTAATTAATTAATTAACAATAACTAATGATTAATTAACTCAAACTGTTTTGGTTTGTTTAATATTTTTGATACATTCATACAAACAATGCTGTACATTGGAATAAGGCCTGATGAAGATCTAAATACAAAAATTACTGTTCGATAGTATGTATTGTTCTAATTTATGCAGTAGGTATTTTCAATATTTTAAGATCACATGAAGATGCCAATAGCTGTCAAGTTATTTAGATAATGCAACGAAAACCATAAAACGTCTTCAAAGCTTCAACCTTCTGAGTCTAGAGCTTTTATTATTCCGTAGTTTTGACTCAGCCAATATGACTAGCAAAAATTTCGTACAAACCGAAAAAAATAAACCTGTTATCACTTCATGATATCATATGTTCAACATAATCTCTTTTTTCTAACTAACTTCCAAGAAAGACATATTGTTAGAACTATTTCGCATTCAGATCTACCTGGTTGTGGATATATCAATAAAATACTTGATTACTTATTTGTCAGCTATTGGAAAATAAGCATACATACTGATGATCAAACGAAATCGTGATTTCTACCAGAAGGTAACGTTGAATCACCTGGATTAGAAATCTTCTGCCATTATCTCATATTTATGCACGAAGCTATCCATCATAACATACAAGAATACTATTGATATTTGAAGAGGATACATCAGGTTGTTATGTCAATTATAATAAATAAAGACACTTCATTGTTATGGTACAAAACATTATGACTATAGTGTATCAAATAGCTCGGAAGACTCAATATCACTGATGAATCCTTCTTGCTTTACACACAGCTATAAGCTAAAAATACAGGGGGTTTTTCTTCTTTTTACTGTCTAGAAAGTAATGATCGAACTGAATGAGGGCATATTATTTGTAGTGAATCTTTTCGCTTCATTATTTAATACAATCACATGGAGTAGTAGTTAGTATATATCACCAACAATGACACTGCAACCTTTGATATAGCTGTTACAGTAATCTTATAGATAAAACAACAATATGTTGTCTTAAAGACTTCCGATACGTCTGATAAGTCACTCCTGTGGGACATCACTGTAGCTTGAAAATACATTTTTGAAGACTCTGTTTAAGAGGACCGTGGTTGCTGTTGAGACATTTGATTTTAATCGAACTTACAAACCCAGTAGTTTTATTCCAGTAGTGTTCGAAATGAAAGCAAACGTGATTAACTTTTACTTATTAAATGTCAATATGTGTATATATTATATTAAAGCTGTACAACTATTCACTTATATAAAGTTAGAAGTAATTCCAATAAATATATTTTTACTTCGACAGAAAACTCAGACTTTGAACCTCCTCGTGGTGCTGCTGAATAGTCGAAGCAACCTTGACAACTAACTGAGGCGGTCAATGGAGATCGGACTAGTCACACACTACGTTGTATCTTCGATTATCCCGGATTCCGAATCCGAGGTTCACTTAACCTTACCGGGATACTCGATGTGTATGCTTGTATGCAAGAACTCCAGAAGTCCTATGGCCTATGCAGTTCAAGTACGTAGGTATAAACAAATGGTATGAGTACGATATCTTACAAAGGAGATGTTTAACTGAAAAACTGTCTGCACTGTGTATAATAAAATCGGCGGCCTATCTATAAGGTCGAAGACAATGATTCAGAAGCAAATACTAGGGAGAGGCAATCAACCTCCCTTGAAATAATAATACCTATGCTTATGTATGTTTCAGTTTAACTAGTGTCAAGATAAGTTACATAGTAAGTAAAAGAGCAGTGATGGTAAATATTTTCTTTGAATAAGACAGTCATTGTGCATTTTCATAAAGCTAGCCTAAAAGTTTACGTAAAATTCTCTTCATTAGAGCTCAATGATTGTGGACCTATTACATTTCAAGGGTTTATGACATTTCAATAAACTGGTTCGGTGAATATATGAGTAAATCCGTAAACTTGTCGCGTAGGTAAAGATAACCATAAAAATCAGTTTCTTATTAAAGTTTTTTCCTACGATGAAAGATGAGAAAATGTTTCACGAGAAGCCTTAAAAATTTAGCAAAATAACATCCCGAAACAAAAATTATATATCACATTATATTAAAAACGTCACTTGACGCTATATATAAAAACGTATGTCATAAACTTGTTAATTTAAGATGCTAGAATAAAACCTGGTGTATACGTGATCCTACATGTTCGTAGCAATAAGTAGGTAAATGTAAAACAGCAGCAGAGCGCTAAATAAAAGACTTACAAATTGGTTTAAAAAACAGAAAACTTTTTACAGAACAAATATGGAACGTCCAGGAAAATTATTTGCTAATTTGGTAAAAATATTACGTCAACGCAATGGATTGCTATTACGCTTATATATAGACCATACAAAATCTCATTCGAGTAAAGAAACATGTACTTATTAATTCAGTAACATACTAGTTTCCGGATCAACGAACTTTGAAGTGTAGCATAATAGAGGACGCACAAAATGGCGCACTAAAACAAACATATGCTAACGTAATATTATTTATACTTTTCACATACGTAAAGTGTAAACTTTGATTAACGTTTTCTAGCATCTTGTCCTTTTTTCAAATCATAACTAAATGAAACGCTTACTGAATGAAATTACTTAGTGTTAACAAGGAAACGTAATTACCTGGCAACTATGATGAGTTAATCCAGACCCTGTATTCATCGTGTTGTGCGGTTTGCTGTAAGCAAATTCTTATTTAGTTGTGATGCACTCATCAATCACTAAGTTGCATAATAGAACGATTATTTCAAGTCTTTTTATAGTGCTATGAAGCAATTAGAAAAAACTTATAATATGCAGCGAAAAAAACGGGGTCAGGGCCACAAGTAATATTTAAGAACTCAGTACATTGAGCCATTTCACAGGCATTATTGCAATTTCATATAGGATATTCATATTATTGACAAATTTAATTTACACCTAATGGAGCACCAGTGCAAGTACGAGTGGAAAGTTTCTGCTCAACATGCAGTGAATGATATTTATGACTGGTAGAATGAATGTTAATAGGCTCTCGATGTTCGTGAATATTAGTTTTTCATTTGCAAAGTCAGCTTGTGTCAGAGATAACAGAACAGAATGTTAGCTGATATAGTAATTGTGGAAAGAGCTGAGCGTTCAAAGGGTCGATTCAGAAAATCATGGCGTTTTCCACTTGGTAACTATGAGATCTTGAAACGGGCAGAGCTTCTTCTGAAAACGCTCAATATAATTACACCACTGGGCCTTGATAAACTACCTGCAACCCTCTAAACTTACTGGAGTTCCCGCGCAAGAATTAAAAAGTAGGTTTTGTTCTACTGTTGGTAATCCCATGTTTTTAAAAGAAGCATTGCCACACAAACCAAGCCCTAACTTAGAATTCGGAAAGTCAAAAAGGAAACGGACACACCAAAAACACTTGGCGTAGTGATTGGAGGCAAACATTAACACTCCGAAAAACAACTGCCAACAACTGGAAAGGTTAGTGAGAAATATCAAGCTTACGCTAACATGTAAGAGTCATAGATTGTAGGAATGCCAACTCTGAACAACGGAGATGTCTAACGGAGATGGTTTATCGAACGTAAGTTGTGAAGCAATATCTCATTACGACAGGCAGTGCGACACCATATTTTGATCAGACAAATTATCTTTCAACACAAAGTATTCAAATTGAGTGCTTTTAGATAATTTACACTTGTTATTGCTATGCCTTTTCAGGAAGCATGATGAGATTTTGAGACTTATCTTTGTCTATTTCGAATTCAGTAGAGGACGACCTTTGAAGTTACTAGAAGCATGCGGATAAGAACTCCGTCCGAAACCATGGATGACAAACAAAATTCTGGAACAGATAGCCCCGATGACAATTCGACTGCAAATTCAGGTTATTGGGTTCAAGAATGCCAGGAAAAATTTAAAAGCATTGTATTTGTTGGGAAAAGCGATATAAATACTCTTCAAAATACCATCAGTTTTGCATCCGTATTACTTCGAAAATTCAAGGACATGCTTGGAACTACCGAACAACCAGGATTCGCTTGAAACGCCGGACTGACGAACCAGAATTTATTTGATTATACCAGATCACGTTCCCATGTATAGCGTACAACACGTTTTTGAGATACTCGCATTGTATTATATCAAAACACAAACTCTGTGCTTAACATAAACGGTTCTAATTTAGAAAACAGAACAAATTATATCAAAAGTACAAAATATCTCAAACGGTACAGCTTGCGATATACAGTCAAAGGTTTCTCTAATGCAAAGTAGCGCATTAAACAATGAAGAAAACAGTTAATACTAAAGGGTTTGATACTTAGGAATCAGTAAAAATATTCCCAACAGTATGTGATCAAATATCTATCCGTAAAGATTCCAGCATTCCTGCTAAGCAGACAGTTAAAAGGCTAACAGTCACACACAGTACCACGCAGTGACCTTGAGCTTAGTCAAACACGACCTCACTGCCAATAGTTCGGCAACACGCAATGGAAACTTAGGTAACAAAAGATAAGTCTTTGATCAAAATCACATAATAAATGCTCAGACGAGAAAGACTGAAGAACAAAAAATGTGGTTAAACGAAGTCTGAACAAAGGTTAAAATACACGACAGGGAGAAGGAACAAATAAATGACAGCACTATTCAACAAAGAGCTGCGGAGGGAGTTTTATCGTTCTCTTTCCGTTACAGTGTTCGTTTATTCAGTGATCATTTAGTTTGTAATAGTTTCTTAGCCAGTTGTATGATCGTACATAAGTCACTTTAAAGTCCCATTCATTAAAAGGGCTAAATGTCTGAACAACGTTTCGTAGCTCTCATGAGTTCTGAATCAGAAATAGCAGATGGATAACGTTGCTTATAAACGTCAAGTGTTATTGTTCCAATTATGCAGATTGTATGTACTTAGAAGTTTTTTCGGATAAAATATATCAATTTCGGAATAATAAAGATCAGTTTGTTAATATGCCGGAATAGGATTTACACAAAAAGGCATACACGAAAGGTTAGGAAGATGAGTGTTTCAATTTTTTTGTCTCGTAATCCACAATTATTAGTATCTAGCGATTCAAAATATGATTGGTACAATCCAAGATGTGCATCCAAATTATTCGTCCAATGAAGATATCAATGTGACCTTTAAATGAAGACAGCGAAATATTTCTAGTAATTTGCTTAGTCGTGGTAATGAACTTACAACTCAGGGTCATTCAAGCTTGCGTTAATGTAATAATGGCTTTTATTCTCGTGGATATATGAAAAAGCAATTCATCAAGAAATTGCAAAACATGTCGCGAAATCGAACACAATTTTTACAAATGTTTGGGCAGAACTATATTTTATGGACGACCTTTGAACGAATTTAAAGTTACCTTGAGAAAAATTAGCCAATCAGAAGTGTGTTTGTATAAAGTAAAAATATATTATAAAAAACCCATGAATTACTGTGGATATTCTTCGTCTACATGATTTAAAAACTTGTTAAGGTTAGATAAAAGTTCAGATGTCCTGAAATCATAGTGCACAGGGTTAGGGTTTAGGGTTAGGGTGCACAAATCAAAGTCTATGGATGCATCTATACGCTTTCCAATCATCGGTATAGATCGTGGTTCCAGGCTGATCGTACTCCCTCATGATCGGTATTATTGTCTTTGCCTGACGGTTTCTCACTCTGAAAATGTCTCCTTTGGGTTGACTGATCATAAAGTCCAAGTGCCTGTTAATTATATTTACGGGAGTGCTGCTTAACTATAGCAACACAAAAAGGGGAAATAAAGGGGAAAAAGGTGAAATAAAGCGGACGAAAGGGTAAATAAACGGGAAATGTCGCTTTTTCGCCTTTACGTCGGTTATTTAGGCGAAATGTCGCTTTTTCTCCCTTACGTCGTGTATTTGGGGGAAATTTGTCGACAATTCTACGTAACGTATAGTGTTTGAATGAACCGCATTCGGAACAGAAGTTTTCATAGACTTCGAAAAATTAAGGTGCCGCTTTGCAAAGAAACAAAAGTATTGTCATAGAAACAATCTATGAGATACGGAACCAGGCACTCGGTTGATACGCATACAGAGTGACTTCGTTTGTTGTTTAGCTGAAGTGTTCCGACGTGCTTTGGAACCATCACAAAAAACTTACGTGATGCAGGTGGGCACGGACTGGCAGGTAAGCCACGGATTTTCGCGCACATGTTACATGTTGTCGTGGATTTTTTGTGTCGTTATTTACCAGCTATTAACAGGCTTTTTTGCATGACACATCAATTTCTGTATTGCTAGTGCTTGTAACATAGTTTTTATTGCAATTTATCGGCAGTTTGACGTATTTCTTGCTCACCACGTAAGTAAATCTGAAGTTAGCTTAATATAGTTATTTGTAACAATACAAACTCAAGCAAGTAAAGTTAACCGTGTTTCTAGTCAAAAATACATCACAGATTGAGTTTTCATGAAAATGAACCGTAAAATCTTTTACATATGGTTCACCTCCTTGATTGCGGTGACGGTGAACATGGATGTCGGTAGTTGTTTATAAAATGTAAGTAGAAGCAATCAAGCGTTAACCTAATTGTGAATATTATATAACTTGTTTGTATTTAGCCATAAACAGTTATATCCATTAGAGGTACCATTATTTTGTACTGAAGTGACATAATTATGTAACGTATTTGAGAAATATCATGTGAGTAACAATTGACGTTTATAGTGTTGTCCAGCGGCTTTCTGAACGTCTGCAGTAATAGTGTATAACACCACATCAAGTAGGAACAAAATCTTCATGAGTAAAACGATCGGTGTTTCTTTTGAGCATGGTGACACAACCAAGGTTTTTAGTTAATACTGATTTGTGACGTGTCTGTTATAGGGTTCACAAGTGAGTTATCATAAAGTCTTCACTCCGTCTCCGTAATACAGTTGTTGTGTTTCTTAGGAAGTTATGAATGAATGTCACTACTTGTAAATAAAAGACTTATAGGCACAGTCTGTTACTTGTTATTTGAATAACTTATTGAATATGATACTGAGAACAAAGTTTAATTGTTTGTCTCAAAACGGATTTGTTTTTTTTCAGAATAGTATGAAGCTTATGGAATTTAGGATTACGGAAGATCGTGTGGAAAACCGGTTTACAAGTTTACGATAACTGTTTTATATTGCCTACTGCTATGTTCACTCATCTAATGAATTATTTAAATATAAATATAACAACCATACGTAGTGTTTTACATTATAAATCCTGTAAGTTTGTATAATTATGGTCTAAATAAAGCCAAAACAAATATTGAGGCAGAAGCATGTGACTGCATTACATTTCGTGGTTTCTCACAAGTTGCATACAACTGAATATGCATTATAATTTAAGATTGAGAGAAGAAATAGTATGAAAGATAATCGAAAGCAAAGAATTGGAATGACCTAGGTTATCAATAATAACTATACATATGTATATGCTTGAACAGGTCAAAGGTCATTTGGTGTTAGACTTAAGGGAACATAAAGGATGGGTGGTGTAATAGTCCAGTGAAGGTCAGAAGCATATAAGATAAATTGTGTGATAATTCTAGATGTAATGGATAAATTAGCGAATTAAGAACTAATAAGATAAGTGAAGACAATCTGAAGAGTTAACATAATTTAGCAAAGAAGTGAGTGGAAGGGTGGTATAAGGATTACGTAATCCATCTTATCAGGGAACTAGCTGCATGAAATTGTCTACTTCCATACTAATACTAACTTGATAATGGACGTAATCTGACAACGGAAAACATGTAAGGCGGTTGTTTAATCTGTAAGGTTTTACGTGGAAGTCGCATTGTTGTTTTATTTGACTCGTTGATTCATCACAATGAACAACGATATAACGCTAAATTCTAACGACAGTTCGTAGCTAATACAGTAGTACAAATTCTTAATTTTCACACACTATTATTCGTTAAAGCGATTGGTAAACCTCCCCATGAAAGTATGAAGAAGACGAAAATAAAAAGTGAGAAAAAGTTTATTGATTTTTCATGACTACTAAAGTTGAAAGATAAGTTTACAAGTTGTATAAATAGTGGTAAAAAATAAAGCCACAAAGAACTGTTAATCGTAAACCTGCTGTTTAGCTGTTTATAATTCTTAAGTAAAAATTGTAGACTTTTCTCTCCACCTGATTCGCGAAGCGTTCACCATATTTCTCAACAATTTGTTGTTTGCACATTCTTTGGAGCCGTTGAAGTTGTATATATTCTTTACTCCGTCACGGCAATGAAATTGCTGTGTTGTTTTGTAAGTTGTGCGTATTGTCTAATTTCCATCTGCAGCAACACCTAAGAAGTTGATGAGCTATGCAGTTTATATTTTATAATTTAAATAGCTTACCTGTTAGATTTCGTCTTTTAACATATGCCAGCAGGAGATGGCGGCACGGATATCGACACATATTAAACGTGCTACAATTACATTGACAAATACTTAAATCCACTTCGTAATGTTGTCCGCGGTCAACCATAAACAACCACTCGCCGCTTTCATATTCACAGTTAACGAAACGCATTTTTTTAAGTTCATATAACACCTTGCATCTTGCAAACGGAGTTAACATGTTAAGTAAGGGTATAAGGTGCTGTGGAGCATCATAATTGTATGTTCTTCTACTGACCATTTGGTCTTCAATGCTTTTTCTGGAGAATGTCATTGAACTCCACTTAAAAGCCTTGTACATACATTTGTGCAAGCTGTCGCTTTTGCGTACATACCTTTTTATCTGTCTATTTAATGACTCAACACGATTATTCGTGTTGTTACCCAAAGTTAATACACTGCCGTAAAAGGCACGTGCCCACATTGCTTTACGTGGCATCCAGTAACGTGATAGGTACTGGCCTATCACTCTGTCTCTGCGGTTTATTATTCTATAATATTGATTAAATCTAGTGAATAAATACATTAAAAAATTACCTTCCGACCGTTTCTGCGGTTACCAGTCGTGTCAAGTAGGTTTTCAGTATTTTATCAGTTGTCTAAAAGAAATTTTATGTAACCAACCATTGGTGTACCTTTTTCCGGAAAGCGCGAATGACATGAAAGGCGCATAAAATAATGTTTGCATGCCCGTGCGTTATACGGACAGCTGCGCTTTCAGATCGTGCGCAATCCATCACAAAAGTTTCTGTTTTGGTAGTGTTACCCATTATTTCCTTGAATTTATCCAAAATCCACGTAACGTCGGCACGCTTTTCTTTTTGTGTCCAAGCAAACATAACAGTCCGACCTCGACCGCAATTGTCTGTCACCACTAACTGAAATAATGAATATCTACATAGTAGAACAAAACGAAAATCATATTCACTTTTTATTATTAGTTTTATAAGTAGAATCAATACACACAACTTCAGGATATTGATTGTACAGCCGTATCTGATCATAACTGCTAAAGCATATCGCCGTAATACATCCATTTTCTGCATGCTCTCTAACTTCGCCGTTTTGTCGCATCATCTGCAATACCTGTTTCAGAGTCCAACCTGAAATATATTTATATACACTTACCAGTGGAGAGTTCAGCTTTCATATTTTTGACATCAGCAGCCGTCACCTGCTTACCTGTTCTTTCCTTAATACTTTCGATAACTTCGTCCGTCGACTGACAGTGCAATATAACCGGTTTCAAGTTTTCTTTTTCTTCTGCTGACAATCTTCTACTAAACGGATCACAAACCATCCACGAACTAGTACACGGATGGTTGTGAGACATGTTGTAAGATTTTATAACGTATTGTTGACCCTCCAATCTTACGCGAAACATCGATTGGCAATTTAAAAACTTAGACCTTAAACGTAACATTAGTTAGAGTCCTTACGGTTTTTTATTCACATTCAGACCTTCTGATTTACGTTTACGACCAAACGTGCAACGAAACACTACGAACAAGTATTTATATCTCACATCCTTCAACAATCTACTTTCTGCGTGAACATAGTGTGTATGGGTAATCTGAGAAAACATAGATTTATCCTATCGTACTTTATGGAAATCCTTTAGCGCATTATCGAATTCAATCCAGCTTCCGAATCTCTTGTTCAGCATAATACGTTGGAACGCGTCGCTTACGTCCACTGAAATTTCACTTGAGCATGAAGCACTAGAGACAACACCCAAAATTTATTAAGAAAAAAGTTATTCCTTGAAAAAAATTAACTGAAGGAAGAACAACAAATATTTAGGACTTACCCTTCGGTTGACATTTCGTCTTAACTCACAAAACCTATGCGTATCTATAATCTTTTACGTTATTTTATCTTTCTTACGTTGTTTTCTGAACCTTATCAACAAATTATATATAGCTGTTGACTTTCACTACAGCACTTAGGACCACAGATCAAGTTTCGAAGGAACGACAGAACTAAAGTGTGCACTACAAAACAGAAAATACTCAATTAATGCTCTTAGCAGTTATTTAGTGTTCATTATGCATCAAAAGATGACTTATATATGGAAACATTTAATACTCATACGACCCAACACACACACGGCAATTGAAATACGGAATGCCCGCTTCCAGTCAGCGCGTTCAAGGTCGTTGAAACGAAACGGCGGACAGATTTGAAAGGGATTACAATTTTTACCGTGCCATGCAGGTGAGTGACGTGCTCTCATGACTTAAGGTTTATGGTTACTGATTACCTTCTTAGGCCAATAATATGACTTTTTATGATGTCAGTAAGAATGTTCGTAAACGTAGGGCCACTGTGAATTTGTCAGCTTCCCTTGGTTGTCACAGAACCACTTATAATAGGAGGTGGAAAAGAATGAGAGCTGCTTTAATGAAAAAATATGACTTCCTTTCGTTCAGTGAGTTTGCTAATGAAAGCACTCTAAAAGGTAACTGAGTTCAACAGTATTGTTTATTAATTTGGTAGAAGTAAAGACGGATATCAATTGTAATGACGGTACTTCAACTGTAACACCAAGCACTAACAACATCAACCAAAGGCTTGAAGACAACAGTGGTATGTATATTAAATTCACACGCGAATATATATCTTATAGGATCTCCTGAAGTGGACTTGTGCTCTCATAATTTCGTAAATCGCAAACAACTGATGAACGACTTCATGATGTATCTAGTGTCAAATACATCTCTCAGCATAAGAGATGCTGATCGGGTTTTGTATGGTTTACGATTTCTTATCCCGGACATACCGAAAAGCATAAGAGGTGTCCTAAAGACGTGTCCAAGTGTTCAACCAAAGTTTATCGGCAGTGGGGTTTATTACCATCTAGGATTGAAAACCAACACCTCAACGGATGAAAACACTTTGCCACTTAACACTGAGAAGCCAAAAAGGTCTGCACAATAATCTTACTAACATTTCCTAGAGGTGTAATGAAGCGTAAAGAAGATTTTCTCTACAATTCAGTCGACATGGATGTGGCTGAGATGCAGGCTAAGAATGTCCCCGTACAATATCCCAAATTCCGTGTTTTCGAAAAATTCATATCGCCGATCGCCAAGTAGGCTTAATTAGTATTTAGATATTCACGAATTAGTTCGACACAATTAGAGACATCACCTTCGACATCGGAATGTAAGCATGTTGGTGGCGCTATAGTGGACCAGTAAGTAACCTGCATCATGTAGTGACCTTTTTCGGCAGTGAAAGATTGTGTACACTGGTGCTGAACATGTCGTCAGCTATCAGTGAACTGACAAAAACGATTAACAACATGTCGTCCGCCGTTATTGACTTGAATGCTAATGTAAACCAATTGCTATCGAAGTTTCATGAACGCGAAAAACCGCATCGATTCGATTGCGGACTGTCCAGTCAGCAGTTTCCTTTGTCATCTGAAGAGGAACTGCAGATGCTGGATACCAGTTTGTCGCAGAAAGAAACCAGGGACAGATTTGTAAGTCATTAACATAAATTTAATTATTTGTGACGATTACAGATGGCAATGGTCACTAGATTATCAAGTGACGACCCAAAAGCGTCCATGCGGTTTGTTCTGTCGTATCTGTTGACACCTAAGGTTGCCAGTAAATTCACGTTACTTGGCACCTCTTCGAAACGAGCACTGCAGAAATGCACGTTTTACGGCTGCATTCGAAGTAACCTTTATCTATTACTTAAACTTCAGGTGCTTTGACTCATCGCTTTTTGTCATCCTCTGTCAACGAAAAAGACCTTGGTAAGCTCTACGACATCGCGACCCAAGGTTACTTTCACGACATCCGAGACAAGATGATAAAACGTAATAAGAGAAAAGATAACCAGGTATGTACTGATTCAAAGTGATAACCTCCCTACGGCTCTATAGTTACAGTCAATAATATTAACGAACATAACCGTAAGTTCAGCTTCAAGTATTTGGCTGTGCCAAAGCATATCATTGAGATATGGTTGTGACTTTTTTTTTAAATTCAGAATTCACAGGACGACTACCACAATTCCGAATAGTCCGTGCAATTGTTTTGATGTTCTACCTCGATGTCAATAAACATTGTTCTTTCAAACAGCTTACTTTTTTACTTACTTGGGAAACTGTTGAGAGTGTGTGTTTGACTTTCAGTGAACTTTTGATTAAATGGACATTCCTTATGAATAAAACATAGCCTGTTCCTTCTTTTTCAGATAATTTTCAATAACAATGAATTAGCAATTGCATTGGATATGCATAACAATGGATGCTTAAGCTTGTGCTCTACTGTTGTACAATAATAGGCATTTCTTTTTAAATAAAATTTTTTAAAAATTTACCGCTTTTCAACCGTATTGCAGAAATATTTTGGTCTGTTGTTGAAAATAAAGGCGAAGGCAGGAGACCTTTGGTCTTCTGTTGATGGATAGAAAATAGGATGTAATGTGTGTATTTAGGCGGATATGCGACAAATCAGCGGATATTTAGGCGACAATTCGGCGGATATTTAGGCGAAAATGCGACAATTCGGCGGATATTTAGGCGAAAATGCGACAATTCGGCGGATATTTAGGCGATAAGTGGGTAATTTTTCGACAAAAAGGGGAAATTCCGCATTATTTCCCCCGGACAGGCGACATTCAGATGCGTCTTCCCCTTTCGCTACCATAGCATTTACCCCTTTATTTCCCCTTTTTAGGTTGTCTGGCTAATCTTCCTTGATAAAGCGTCCTTTGTTGTATTTTCGCTTTCTTACTAGTGTCTCATCTATTTCCATTGTTCTTCGACTCCTCTAAAATGATTCATCTAGTGTTATTTTGATTGCACATATATCACGGCAGTATTCGTACCACTGAACGGCTGAAATTTCCGTAACATCTTCAAAAGCCGCAGCTAATGTTACTGGAGACTTTATGATCTACTTTGCAACAATTATCACGATTTGTCTTAGTCTGCGTCGTGATCGAGCAAAGAAAGTGTCAGTTCAAGCAGATTTTTTCCTCCAACATATAGGACAACGAAATACAATGTCATCACGGTAGTCTGTACATCGTGCTGCAGTCACAGATACAGGAACTTCTTAATAGTCCCATCTATTGTAGTCGCTCAACAATCACCTCTTCGCTAAAATCTGCTGTCAAACGATCGTATGTGAGCATCACGCATTGAACTTAGCACCGTTACCTTAAAAATTCCTCAAACGCTTCTGATTGGCTCGTCCATAAATTATAGTCTCGGCAAATTGCCTTATTTTCCTACTTTGACGAAAATTTGGAAAAATCTCTCAAGACCAAAAGCCAGAAAAAGGCTCTGAAAACGCTGAGAAACATCTTATCCAATCAGCATTCAATAGAAGTATTGCCAGAAATATTTAGAAAGTGAAGTCACATGTCGCATTTCTGACGGGATGACTACCTATACTGCTACTACGTTTAGTGGCGTCCCAGAAATTTCCAGAATCGTAAAACCATCTAAAATACTATAAATATCCCAGACTTTCTGTACATAAACGAACCTTGAGGCAAAGCGTTTCTTCAATATTTTGCGACTTTTTTCTCGTGTTCAATTCGCTGTGTAGATTTAGCATAGAGACTACTAGAAGAGCTTTGGAACTGAATCTAACGTTCAATTAGAAGGCCTATCAATTGAGTAGATCTTTACTTCGAAAATAACCGAATATGAAAATTTAAAAAACAAATAAACTCATCCAAAATATCTCACATAAACACATGGTAGTATTTGTATGAAATATTGTTTTGTATATATGTTATAACTTGTGGCCTGTGTCATGTTAATGTATAACGTAATGATACCGCCAATTAGAGAGCAGTGAATTATCGATCGGACCAATGACTTGTAAACCCCATACGAGCAGTCTAGATTCAGATCTACATTCATATCTTATAAATTATCAACCCAGCTATGCAATTTATTACAGTGTATATTGTATCATTTGTATCAATTTGATCTTGCCTGTAAACTGGCATGCCTCATATAACAAACTGTTATTTGAGAATAAATTATTATTATTATTACTTATCGGTCCTGCTTCCTGTCTAGTCCAGTCATTTAAGTCTATAATACAAATCTTATCCTCTGCGATATGAATCATACGGGGTTTATACACGAATCAAACAGACCACATCGAACCATAAAATAGAAAACAACAAGATTTAGCCAAATGTGTCTGTGCATGTAGGAGGTAGTAATTAATAGACAGGGCATAACTCAAGAATGATAAGTCGTATAATAATAGTTCATAAGTCAAAATAAAGCTCGTAATTAGAAGAACATGAATGTGAGTAGTTTAGTTATTTAACAATTATACGATAAAAATATCCCCATAGTATCGATCCATAAATGGATCCCAAAGTTACCATTTATTATGCTTATCGGACATAATATACTTGACTGGGGAATTCTAAATTCAGTACAATACATCCAACTGTGTGCACTGTTCTGTCGTTAGTTGTCACTACTAAAGTACATATTATTTAGGTTTGGAAACCTACTATTTCGCAAATTATGTTCGATAATATTACTATTCAGAAAGATCTTGCACATATCTACTGGACTATCCTTGTAATAGTCTATATTTTAGATGTGTTATTGTAAAGTTTGTGACATGTTACTGTCGTGTTTGTACTAATTGATAAATTCTCTTGTACATAGTCCAGCGGTTGATATGAATTTCAAATGCATAACCTTCGACTGTGTTCACAAAGTTCTCTGATTTGGGTACTGATCCTTACATAGCCACTAGAGTATGAATTAAACAATTCTGTGTAATACAAGTTAGCATACATAAGTTGATCACTTCTGATTATCAGTTATTTACTTTGAGTATTGAATAGCTGCGTTTCTCGCGAAGGGGGGGGGCGGGATCGTGGATGCGCATTGCCGTCTAGCGCTTCCTGGTTTTCCACGGTGATCTTGCTTCAATCGACTCATGATTTCAACTTTTTTCATAACACACATTCATTTCTAATAAGTGACTACTTAAGAAAAACTCTCCCTAAAATTCAACCGATTTATTAAACATATTTCGGATTACAGTAATGTTGTAATAGGTGAGACTGCAGGGTTTGATAAGCAGCGTTTATATCGATCGATTCAGTGTGACGTAAACACGTACGAACGACCTAGAGTCCCGATTGGCCCTGCTTCGCTGTCTATCCCAGCCAGTTGAGTCCAGAACGCAAGTCACAGCCTCTGAGATATGAATCATTATATTTTAAACACACTCTGTTTATATACTAACCAAGCAGATCACATCGTACCATAAAAATAGAAAACAACATTTACACAATATTAAACAAGTGCAGCAAATATCGACCAATAGGGAATGTACATTTAGCGTCCAAGGACAACATTAGACTTAACATGATAACTATTGGTATATTTTTCTGCACATCCTAACACCTCCCCCTCTTTTTTGAGGATCCAGAGTTGATATCCGGATTTTAAAATTTTCTGCGTCCGTCCTCACCCGCGAAATAATGTTGGGTCCTCATATACCCAAGTAACAGTTAGTCTGATTCTATTTAAAGCATAAGTTCCGCATTGGGTAGAGGGTCCACTAGAAATGAATAGATGATGAGGATCAGCGACACCAGACATGAGGTAATTAAGGTTTGATTCTTGCGAAACATATTCATCAGACCTCTTCAAAATTCCATCAGTGGATAATAGGTCACTAAAATAAACAGCATCTTTGAAATTTGTATTAGATTCCTGACCATTATTTGATGCATGGGACACATTTTCTGGCATGAGGGGTTCTTCTTGTGAGCTGTATACCTCACTGTCTGTATATGTTTCGGGCACAATGGGATTTGAACCCACGGAAGGGCATGCTTCTGAACTGGACATTTCTGAACCGCTGGACGGATCATGAGCGACTGCCTCGTTTGCGTTACTGCTCATCAGGGATTCATAGAGGCTTTTGTTTTCGTATTCATACGTCCTGCAGTCATTTTCGAGTTCAGTATGCAAGTGGGAAATTAATTCATCAATCTCTTTCACATCTCCGAAACATGGGAGATTTAGCAGTCGCGTGCGTAAATTGTCCAAAACATTCAACTGGCTCTTTCTGGAACGCTGCTGTTGGCGATCAAGTAGTAGCTGCAATTGATTGGGAAGGATAGTTATTTTCCGAATCCGCAGGGTAATGAGAAATACTGTGATCAATTAACAACCAATGACTTCCAAGAACACCGATAATAAATTCGGGCGCTGATTGGTCAAAATAATTAGGCTGAATCTCGTCCAATTAGAGGGTTCAAAATTTTCAATACCCCGTCGCCAATTGTTGTAACGTGTGTGACTGCAGGTTAGATGCGCACATCCTAACAAGTAAATACTTCCAGCAATTATTATTTCAATACTTCGCACATTTTTAAATATCACTAAACTATAAAAAGAGATTTTAGCAATGAGATGGACTTAATTTATTCGTGTTTTTTCATCCGGATGTATCATTTCAAAATAACCAAGTTGTTCAGCCCCCCAAATGCCCTGGTACGATCGAGGGTTGGGAGAGTCCACACTCCTTCTCGAAATGCTCTCACGTGGCCACAAGTATACAGCCACTGCCAGGGAAGTTCTACTCACTGCCTTCTCGTGAAGAGGTGTTTTTCACGAGATTGAAGAGACGAAGACTGAATATCCGGGTCTTAAACCGGGTTGTTGGACACATAGGGTTAACCTAGGGGAGTTGAAAAACCCTGATTCTAAACCAATGGTGAACACGGGCTCCAGGATCCTGAAGTAACAAGTGACGTATGAACTAATTATTTTTCAAAGACTACCATGGGACTGCATTTCCCAAAACTGCTCCATTGCCTTGTGGATCAGACCTTTAGGTCGAAGGCTTCGGGTGTGACCGCCTAAGAAAACCAAATGCTTCGGTTTGGGCACTCGGGCAGTATAGCAGCCCACACATAAATCAAGTGACTTGTGTGGTGCATCTGTATCGGATGCATCTTTGTACCAATATTTATGAGCCCAAATAAATAAATAAAACCAAGTTGTTTGAGTAGACTCCCCTATGAAGTAGAGAATTAGTACCCCATATATAACCTGGGCTATTTCACCCTCTAATTTGTAAAATCATCGTAAAAAAGCCGCTTGGAAAGCCTGTGATCAACAATCAATAACCTTTCATAGATTGCTAAAATCATAGGTACCTTCTACAACTGCAGTCACTATTCAATAAATGATGTAGCTTGACAAAAGTCAACAAATCTTCGGGAATTTATTCATCAACTAGCTTCCTATGATGCTCCTGCTTATTAATTTATACGAATGTATAAATTGCCTTAGACTACTACCTGTCGTTTGATAGGTTAAAAACAATCAATCAATACCCTTCAAATTTCAGCGAGACTATAATTTATGGACGACAAGTCGCGAATTTTGGGGCGAAGTTCATCCATACATTTGGCTAAATAGAATTTTGGCATTAAAGCTTACGTAAGTTCGTGATGAAAACCCTAAATCTAATTTTGAACCCTAAACATCAACTGTAAATGAGAACTACTTTACAACCCTCATTTAGTCTTAATCAATAGGTGTCCACTCTCAATGTCACTTCAGTGTCGATCAATGGTCGTCTATAAATTATAGTTCCACCCAAATTTCCCCTCAATTTCTTTAGATCTTAATTAAACTGTAAAATCACAGAATCAAAAACTGAAAGTCGGTCAACAAAAAACGAAAGATCAAAGAAGGTTGGTATGATGGGGATAAAATATGAAAAGTATTGATTAACTTGTAACGTCCATTTTTATCTTACCTTAGTCATTTAACAGATAGATTATGCTACTTTAGTTAGATAAATTATACACAAATGGGTTTTAATTCCCTAATACAATAACATAATCAGTTAGTGTTTTTTTTCAATTGAGAATTAAATGATCGATTCTATGGGGAAAACATCATTTTAATTACAATACCGTTAAATCAATCATAACTGAAATCACGTAAATTTTTAATAAAAGGAATGTATAAGACAATACCATGATACAAGAGAGTATCCAATTTGTATTTTACATTATGGACTGATTTTAAAACCTAAGGAATAGACTTATAATCCCTAGTTGAATCGCTGGATAAGGGGGTCTATGGATACTCATGACTAAAGATTTCCACTACAGGATGAAATGGCTATTCAATGTTTTCTTTTTCATTTTCGAAGGTTGTCTAGCAAAACTGTTTGTGATATAATCAACTAATTCATGTCAGTGTTCACTTCATTACTGACACGATTAAACAGAATCGTATTTTATAAATGTAAGTTGACAGTGATATTGTAACAGAATAATATAGAAAAAACAAACAAATTGATTTGAAGGAAAAAAAGATATTTATTTACATTTTTAGGAAATTCCTGCTCTCAAAAGAGAACATCTAATTCACAGGTTCAGAATTTATGGGTACCAATTGTTGTTTTTTTAGCGTAAACCATAATACCACCAGTGTGGTGGTTCATTTCCTCTACGCCATATTGAATCAACACGTAAATCGACATCTACTTCTTTAGTGTCATCTTTTTGATTATCCACTGTGTTTTCACCTTCGTCTGTTTCGGCACCTTTCAATGTGATTTCATCAGTGACTTGTTCATTCTGCTTTTGTTTTAATCTCTCTAAATATTTCATCATTGCAATACGAGCTCTATGTGCCATTAAATAAGATCTTGGATGTATTGGTAAAAATCCACATAATCCCAATAATTCAGCTACACGAACAGTTGGTTCAGCTCCCATACCTATCCAGTAGGAAATACGTTCAAAATTTAATGCAATCAATTGTTCTCCATGAATATTAGGGAATGGATCCCATGAACCGACTTGTTCAATACCATTCTTTTTCGATTCAGCTAAATTAGATTTAATCTGTAATATGAACAAAATGAATAATAAAATGAAGAAAATGAAGTAAAGGAAATTAGTGTCAGTCATAAAATAAACATAATTCCTGGTATAAATATACACTGGTCTAGATTTTTATATCGTTTCAAAGCAATGAAAGAAAATTATTAACAAGGCACATGCTAATCCAGTCAAAATCGTAGGTATTGTTCGCGTTGGTTTAAAGAAAAACTCGATGTGAAGATTATTGCTTGGAAAGAAGGGAATAGTTCGTAGAATAAAAGATGAGAATATTGAGGAGCAAAATATGAACGACTTCTCTCTCTAGTTAGCGGGGCTGGGACGCATCAAAATATAAGATGGTGGTGAAGATTTGTAGCTCAGGTGGATGATTTTGGTGGAGTTTTGTTCTCTGAGCTGGATGGTTTGGTCAGCTCAGAGAACAAAACCACCAAAAACGCATCAAAATAGCTAGCTTATTGGTCTTTGGACACAGAGTCTTTGTTCCGTTCGCAGACCTAGGTGAATTCGTAATTGCATTAAACACAGCAAAATAAACAGGTAAACTGTTACATTGCAATGTTAAAAAATATTTCTAACCACTGACTACATGTGAATGCGAAGAGTTCAATCAAGTAGTCTGCGTCCATTAACAAACTAATGGTCAATATATTTATGAACTGATGCTATTTTTTAAGTTTGATTCCCTCAATTTCTTAAACCTACTTCTAACCCAGGCCAGTATTACGCGTCAAGATAGGTGGTAGTTAGGTATGCGTAACACACACCTTAATCACCACATTAGAAAAAGGTTCTTTCATACTTAGACTGATTATATTTGGTGATTTGGCATTTTCAATACTATTCCTATGTGTTCATTTTACACTGACGACATTGTGGACTAGTATTATGATCTGATTTAGACAAACAAAACTATTTACTGACATTCATATGTTTTAATCGACAAAAAATTATGATGAAGACATTTAGACCAAATAAAATGCACAGTCGTATGTATGAATAGTGAACTTTTAAACTAGGTAATTGATTTTCAACGTGAATATTGATAGGTATATAGTGCTAAACACAATTGTTTAAAGGAAACTACTCAGTAATTCTTAGCGGAACTAATAAATTCTAAATTGTTATGGCAGAGATATATCTCTTGATATGATAATGATATTTCATTAGGTAAGATAGTTAAAATAGGTTACATATATCTTCAAACCCTAATGTTTTTGGTTAGTGCTTATACTCTTACTACCTCTACCACTACGGGATTTGAATCGACAACTGCATCTGTGTGCTAATGTGGTATGGCAACTCGAAATGATCTACGTAAGTACAAAGTTATACTTTGCTACTGACTGACTGACATATATCAGTAGGCCAGATAGTTCAAAACATAGTAGATGTAGGCTGATAAGACCAAGATATCACTAATCTGAGTAGCAATTCACATGATTGTTAGGAATATATTTTTTTATGAAAAATGATACAAATCAGAGATGTGTTCATTTAGTCTTTCCTCCGATGAATGTTGTCAAATGATTTATGAGTCTAGAAACTCGACTGAATGAATCCATACATAACAAAATAACGTTTATGAACTTACCTGTATGGTAAAGAAAGGTCTGTTGGAACATCCTTCTCTGACTAGTGCAATACGAAGTTTATTTCGAAAACGAACAGGATATAATTTTACTACACGACGTCCAGGAATTAATGGTTGATGAGGCCACCATGTACTAGGCTTTTCTGGTCCAGGTACAAATGTCAAATCATTTAAAGATGTAGGCTGAGTTGATTCACAAACAAACGGTTGTATATTACCAAAAGGTGAATAGGAATTTTGGAATTTTACGCGACCCAAGTTCAAGTTACGAAGTAAAGGAAATCTAAGGATGTATTTTTTTAAAAAGATGTCACATTTAAATGAAAACCAACATGATGGTACAGTCATAGTTAAATTAGATGAAAATAAGTTTATGCGTTTTTCAAAGAGAAAATATTATAAAAAACCTCAACTAAGATCCAATACCATCAACATAGTATATTAGTGACATTGTAAGACAGAGAAACTAATTTACTTGGATCTCATGATAATTAAACTATTTTATGACGAATAGATGCTAAGAAAATACTTCTAAAACTTGTCAAGGTTTAGACAATCCATAGACGTAATGATAACAAAAGAACATCTGATATATTACAATCTTCAGACGGTGGAAAAGATCTGTAGCTCAAGTGGATGATTTTGGTGGATTTTTGTTCTCAGAGCTGGATGGTTTGGTTGTGGAGCTTTCATCGTTCTTCTGAACGACATCATCAGCACAAACGTTAGGTTTGTTATAAGTTCAATACAAACATTTGGTCATCAGCAGCTTACATTTAGATGTGGACAATAGTTAATGAGATTAGGCAAATTTACTTGCATAACAATAGGAATGATTAAATAAATAAATTTCTCAAGTACAATTGTACGTAATTAGAGTTTGGGTCACACGTTTTTATGAGACCTAGTAATATTATTTAGTTAATTTTACTAGCTAGGACCCCGCTTTGTTTTAGTCAAATAAACTATCAAGCACTGGTCTAGGGAATAAAACACAACTCCCAACTACTATGTCTGGCTCGAGTTCTGATTCATCTAGTTCCGTCTAGACAATCAGGTAGCATAATTAAGAGTCACACAAAACTTTTAGTTCAATGCTGTGTACATGGATTCATCACATTAAAAGTTTGAATCAATCAGTAGGAACCGTTTGAACGTGATTATTTCTTTCTCTATAAAGAAATCTATGATTGTCTAGCCGTGTTAACCTATAATGTGGATAATTTATTTAGACAATATATTGATAGAGGAATAGTTTGAGATTTGTATAGTAATAGAAAAGCTTGAAACATTACTTTTATGTCAGTTAGTCAGCTACAACGTAGGACCAGGCACACATATACATCGGTCCAAGTTGCTATACATTATTAGCACAACAAGATGAACACCGAATCCATAGAACTAGTTATCAATGGTGTTAATATATAAGAGAAAGATGGTATATAAGGATACAGTACAGGAAGAAAGGATTAGTTTGTAGGAAGGAAGATGTAAAGCAATTTTAATCTCACGATTTAAGGGAAAATAGAGAGTGTATACACTGACGCCATTGTGATAGATTCTGAGTCATGTCACACACAGTCTCCAACCATTGGTTACGATATTCACGCGGACCCCAACCAAGTAGTCTGCATCTACCAAAATGGCTAAGACTAGAAGTGTAATTGTATAATATTTGAATAATATTTAGAGAAGCCTATTTTTTAAAAAAATAAAAATATTTATAGTAAATTCCACATAATTGAACTCGTGTGGATTCCTCTTCTATTATTTACGTTTTATAGTATCAATCTAATAGTAAAGTACTGTGGAGACATACTTGTACAATGCATAATGCATTATTTTGAATTGGTCAAATCTGACTGAACTTTAAAAAGCGATCCAATGGAAAAATATCCTGAAAGGAATAACAATAAATAGGAAATCGATGAAGTAATTATTATTATAATCTTATTACTATTATGGTTTTTAAAAGACTGTTGATAACTTGCTAATCTAATTCTTGCTTGGCAAGAATATATATATGCACTTCACACTAAAAATGAGTTTGTGAGGTGAGAATGGAAGATGAGCATAACAGAAAAAAGGACAAAAATGAACAGAAATTAGTGTACTAGAGTGAAATAATAATAACATTAATGACGGAAGCACTTCATTTGGGGAAAATACAACCAGGAAGAATTTTTTCAGTTAAAAGTTATTTGTTATTATTTATTTGAACACAGATATTGGTACAAGGGAGCACCAGCTACATATGCACCACACAAATCATACGGTGTTTGTATGAGGGCTGAGATACTGCCCGAGTGCCCAAACCGAAGCAGTTGCTTTTCTTAGACGACCACACCCGAAGCCTTCGACCTAAAAGTCTAATCCACAAGGCAGTGGAGCAGTTTGGGGAGATGCAGTCCCATGGTAGCCGGTGACCAATAATTGGTTCATACGCCAATTGTTCTCTCAGGATGCTGGAGTCCATGTGCACCATTGGTTTAGAATCAGGGTTTTTAAACTCCCCTAGGTGGACTCTCCGTGTCCACCAACCCGGTTAAAGCGCCGGACACTCACTCTTAGGAAGTAAAAGAACGTTACAGAAGGATCATCACTGGCTTCTATATCGAGCCATTTCTGATAGTCTCAAGCCAATGTGTTGCACCATCTCCAGGACCCTAACCAAGGAGTCATGAGTGACCAACAGAAGCCAGCTCTGTACATCTTTCTTTCATACCACATCATGTCGTGAACTGACCAACTCTCCACTTTTTTCAATCAGTCCCAGAGTCGGCAAATAATGCATGACGTGGAATTCGCTGAGATGGCATTTGCAGGATATGTCCAAGCCACCGAAGTCGGTGTTTAAAGGTGGTGACACCAGCCGAAATATCGTCGCTGTGTGAAAACACACGGTGCTGAACCTATGAACTACTAATGTGGGGTTCCCACTGGATGTCAGCAATCATTCGGAGATGATTAAACACAGAGTCGTTTAATATCCTCGACTCGGAAAGGTCAGGTTTTACGGGCATATAGTAAAACTAAACTCACAGATGTGTTGTAGATCCGACCTTTTACAACCAGACTAACATCATAAAGGTGCCAAAGATGGCCTCATTGGTATAATCTGCTATGGTTTTCACTATATGTGAAATGATCTTATCATTCACGCCACCACCAGTACACAAAGCTACCCAGAACGTTTTGACTATATCTGCTCACTACCTAGGGTGAGTATAGGTCCAGAGTCCTGCCATTTTTATAAGAGTAGTTTACACTTGGAAGGTGCAAAGCACATGTCATATCTACGGATACTGATTTTCAATTGATTAAGTGCAGATTGCATGGTTTTGGTATCACGGTACAGTACGACAATATCATCTGCATACTCAATGTCGAAAAGTCTTTCTACAGGCAAAAGATTCACACCACAATTAATTATATCCATCAGAGCTGCTTTCGGAACGTTATCAATGGCATGGTTGAGATAGGAATGGTGAAATCGGGCAACTTTGTTTAACCTCACTGCAGGCATGAAACAGAAAGCTTTCCGACCTTCTCCGAAAAGCTAGGCGCTCGGATGTAGTAATAGTGGCCGGTGACTTTAATGCTCAAGTAGGTAAACTAAGCGATAGGGAAAGACACCTAGGTGGATCTTATGGTGTCGTGGCTCAAAGAACAGATAATGGCGACCGTCTGTTGCAGCTATGCTCAGATAATCGCCTGTTCCTTGCAAATACTAACTTTAAGCATAAGGAAAGACATCTTTTAACATGGAGACCCCCTAATCCGTCCCAACGTTGGACCCAACTAGACCACATCGCTATCAGCCACCGATGGAGGGGCTCGATAGAAGACTGTCCCTCATTCTGGAGCACATGCTTAGATTCAGATCATGCTCTAGTGCGAGCGCGTATTTGCTTGCGTCTTACTGGACGTAGGAAAGACGCTGCAAGGAAACCTCTTAGGGCCCTACTTAGTGATAGTCAAGCTAAGAGTATATTTCAGAAACAACTAGGAAAACAGTTAGGCAGCCATGTATGTGATACCCACCCCGAGGCAGCATGGAATGATATCCGAAAAGCTGTGGAAACAGCAGTGATATCTGCTAGTAAGGTAAACCAGAAGGTTAGGGAGCAACACTGGATCTCAGCAGCATCTATCGCACTGATAGATGCTCGGAAACTCATTCCACCTGGCTCTGAACATAGTGAAGAGCGGAGTCAGCTTAAGCGCAAGCTGACAAGAAGTCTACGCAATGATCGCGAACAGTGGTGGGTAGCGAAAGCAAGAGAGATGGAAAAGGCAGCGGCAATAGGTAATAGCAGACAATTGTTCAGACTCGTTAAGAAAACCGGAATTAGGAACCCGATAGTTAGCGAAACAATCTCAGAGAAAGATGGACATATTATTCATTCCCAATCCAGGAGATTGGATCGATGGGCAGAACACTTCAGGGATCAGTTCAACTGGCCTTCAGCCACACTTCAGTTTCCCACGATCTCTAGTCAACCTGAATGGCAAGTTAATGTAAGTCCTCCGTCCCTTTACGAAGTTGAAAAAGCCATAGGAAATCTGAAACGAGGGAGAGCAGCAGGCCCTGACAGGTTTACTCCTGAGATTTTTAAGGATGGTGGTCCAGTATTAGCAATGAGATTAACCGAGGTCTTAGGTAGAATTTGGGAACTGGACGTAATCCCATCTGACTGGTCTCAATCACTGATTGTGCCAGTCTATAAGAAAGGACAAAAGTCCTCTTGTGACAATCATAGAGGAATCAGTTTGACTAATATAGTGTCTAAAATATTAGCTTCAATAATACTTCGACGCCTAATCAAATCTCGTGAAGAGCAGATTAGAGAAAACCAGGCTGGTTTTCGACCTGGACGTGGTTGTATAGACCAAATATTCACACTACGTCAGGTTCTAGAACACAGATACACGTTTAGACGCCCCACAATGGTAGTATTTCTCGACCTTAAGGCGGCATTCGACTCTGTTGATCGTAAGGTTCTATGGCAGTGTTTGTCACTGAAAGGAGTACCAAAGAAGTACATTAACCTTATTCAGGCTCTCTACTCGAACACAACTGGTAGAGTGAGAGCTTATGGCGAACTGTCATCAGAATTGATTACCTCAAGTGGTGTTCGTCAGGGCTGTCCACTCTCTCCATTCTTGTTCAACTTTGTGGTCGACGTACTTTTAGAGATGACACTCTCCTCATCTAAATTTCCAGGGGTTGAACTTCTACCGGGAGGTACACTTGTTGACTTAGAATATGCTGATGACATAGTTTTATTTGGTGAAGACGCTGACAAAATGCAGAGTCTTCTGACCACTCTAAGCAACAATGCAAGCATGTTCGGGATGCGATTCTCTCCTTCGAAATGCAAAATGTTGCTTCAGGATTGGGCTACATCGACACCCGATCTAGTGATAGGGAGTGAAGTAGTTGAGTGTGTCGACCGCTTCACTTATCTTGGAAGTCTCATCAGCCCTTGTGGTCTGGTATGTGACGAAATCTCAGCACGGATACAGAAGGCTCGACTAGCTTTTGCCAACTTGCGTCATTTATGGCGTAGGCGAGATATCCGTCTATCAACCAAAGGACGGGTTTACTGCGCAGCAGTTCGTCCCGTCCTACTTTATGGCAGTGAAACATGGCCGGTAAGAGTAGAGGATATTCGTAGGTTACTAGTATTCGATCATAGGTGTCTTCGAAACATTGCTCGTATATCATGGGACCATCGAGTAAGTACACAGTTGTTAGGAAACGGGTACTAGGTAAGGATGGCAAATCAATTGATGAAGTAGTGAAACTTCATCAGTTGAGATGGCTGGGACACGTGTTACGTATGCCCAACGACCGACTGCCTCGACGTGCGATGTTCAGTGGTATAGGAGTAGGTTGGAAGAAAGCTAGGGGCGGCCAGACCAAAACATGGCACAAGTCCATGAAGTCACTGACAAGTGGTCTGAGTCATGTTGGTAGGTGTAGACTACCTGGTTGGGGACCGCGAGATGATAGCAACCGATGGTTAGAGACCCTGAATGGCATGGCTCAAAATCGTTTGCAATGGCGCAGGTGCATCCACTCTTTGTGTTCTCCCAAATTTTGATCTCCTGATTCCCCCTTGTCTCTTTTTTCTTCTCTTCCCAAATTTATTTCACTGTATTATACTCTTTAAGTAACATCTCCAAACACTAATCTTTCCGATTACTGCCTATACTCTTATAACCTCTACGACTACGGGATTTGAATCGACCACGGCATCTCTGTGCTAATGTGGCGTGGCAACTCGTAATGAAGTACGTACGTACGAAGTTCTACGTTGTTACTGACTGACTGACTGAGGCATGAAACAAGGAAGACAGATGGTTATATGACCTCACTCTGTCTGAGATGCTTGTATATAGGACCTGGTGATTTGTGGCGTTTCAAGAGTTAGAGTTCCTTGTGGACTTCTGACTTGTTAAGTGGATCAGTTGTCACGAATCATGGAGGGCAGGATAGTTTGATCGATGTCGCCGGGATAGCAAACCAGTTGAACTGCTCCTTGAAAAACTCTTCCCTTCGTCCACAACGTCAGTGAATGTTATTGACTGATATCCTGTCAGCTTCACAGATTATTTGAGTCACACCAGAATTGTTCCTGACAGTGACGCGGATGAGTTTAAATGGCTTCCGGCAGTTACTAGAAGTAGAAGCTGCTTCAAACTTGTTAGCACGCTCCGACCACCAGGCTTTTCGGTCCTTACGCAAGCTTTGCACAATTTCGCTAAGCCAAAACCTTCGTTCATGGTCAAACTTGTGGTCATCTGGAGAAGACTGACGTGCTTTAGTGAGTTGTAAGAAGCCTGTAGAAACCTAGCACCTGTTAACGGGACTCCATGAAGTCACAAGCGACTTTACTCACCATTTTCATGACACCATAAAATTGCAGCCAATGCACACATACTTTTCGGTAGATTAATAGCTAGCCTTGAATCTAGCTAGGCTTTACATTTCGTTGCAACAGAAGCTGCAACCAATTTTCTGACACTGACCCATTTAGGGCAGAGAATTTTTCAGACTGAGTGACTGACTGAAGAATTTGTCGGCCACTGAAACGTAAGGTAGGGTCAACGCAAACAAGGGTATGATTAGAGTCCAGATAAGTACTCCAAAAGGAGCAGCAATCTTGTACACAGCCACGTTAGCAGTAGTTGGTCGCGATATGATCAATTTGAGTCCAGGTTTTATAAGCGGAAAGAGGATGCTAGGTAGCACATCGGCGATGACTGCGCCAAAAGTTAGCACTAACCAGAAACAGGTTTTAACCTGAGCTGTTAACTTGAGCGATTTGCAGTAGACAGTTACCGTTATCCGGTCTGAAACCAACATGTCCTCATCGGTCACCTAAAAGACTTTTTTTCCCTAGACACCTGTCGAAAGGACTGTATGTGAAAGGGGGCTTAACTAGTGACAAGAATCACTCGCGATCGCACGCGGGCTAAAATCTGTCGCAGCGTCGGCGATGACGAATGGAGAGCGTCTCTCATACCGATTTCTCAGTGATTTAGTTTTCTAATCTAACAACACATAACCGACTGTTAATAGGGATCCAATCGACTAGTTGTCTCAACTCTAACGTTTACTGCAACAATATAGCCAGCTAAACCATACGATGCTACACGCACGCGAAACAAGCTTTTTGAAGTGCCAGGTGGAAAGCGAATTTGTATTGCTTTAGTTGAGTCCTGAGTCTCGGATAGGCAAAGGACATCGATGTTGAGACTTTCTAAAGACAGCGAACCCTATCGGTTGGCCGGTCTGCATTAGTGAGCGAACGTTGAAGCCGGTCAGTTTGAATGGTATATATGGTCTTGGAAAGGCTAGTTCAGTTTTCGTAATCGGTGGTAGCATCCAACTTTCGACCACTCAGTGACTTGAGATCGTTTAGATAGGAAAGGGTTTTTCCGCCATAGACGAGCTGCTGTATAAGTTGAAAAATAAAATGCGCAAAATGAGAATAAAAGTGAGTACACAAGTGACGCAGTATAAAAGAAACAAAAACGAATGTTATCATATGATTTCGAATGTGATTTGTCAGAATGCAAACCGAAGCGAGCATCATTTTTCCAGTTGTAATCATCATTTGATTTGTGTTTAAGCTGGGCTACTGCCCGGGAGCCCAAACTGAAGCAGGTGGTTTTTTTTTAAAAAGGCCACTCACCGAATCTTTGACCTGGAGGTTTAATCCACAAGGTAGTCGCGCAACGTTAGAAGATGCGGTACCATGGTAGCCGGTGACCAACAATAGGTTCGTACGCCATTTGTCCTCCCAGGACGCTGGAGCTCACGTGCTCCATTAGTTTTGAACCAAGGTTTTTCAAATCTCCTAGGTGGACCCTCCGACTAGTGTTTATATACCTTAACTACTAGTGGCCTATAAATTTTATGAATAGTTTGTCAAAGATTTCTGCAATGGAAACTACTTACTAATAATTGAAATAATATGAACACTACCTACGTAACATTGTGAGGACATTTTGTTAAGTTAACAAGTGGATCTAACTATTTATGAATATTGGCAGTGGCTTCTAGTCCCGACAGTGTCTAATAATGTTTCAAACAACTAGATTGCTACAACTTCATTTATGGAGTAATGGAAAGATAATGAACACCAACACAGTATAACTATCCTTAATTCGATGACGTCATAAAACACTAGGTGTTAGGTAGTTGAAAATACTTGTCAAAAAGTCCTGGACATAAGTTTCGTGCTAATCGGAACTCATCAGCAATGAGTATCTTTAGTCTTGAGAGAAATAAATCTTCCTGGTTGACTCGAACATTGGCCACTCATTGTTATTATTTAATTTATCGTAACATTCTTTTTGATGTCTCTGTTGTTTAGTTATTTAGTTTCATATCAGTCAGATGAAATTACAATACTGTGTATGGAGTAATGAAAGGAATATTTTACTTATTGAATATGTATGGGTTTTAATAAAAAACTTGTGGAGAAAATCATTTATATACAAAGTAAACATCTGTAGTCAGGTTGCATAGTAGCTAAATACTTATCAATTGACTTCCCGCTAGACGTTGTTGGTAGACAGTTTCTTATATGATGTAGAGTTTAGTAACAAGTATTTCATTCACAAAACATTGTCAGAGACCATAAGACTATCTTGTTTACTGACACGATAGGTTGTGTAGTATTATTAGCCTATACATGACTTGTAGCTCACTGCAAAATGTTGTACATGTTTGAGGTTTACTTATTATGACAAACAGCTGATATAAGGCTGTATATACTACTCCATTTTATAAATACTGAGTTAACTATTTCTGCAATAAACGTCACTAAGGCAAGCACAGCAACTGGCTAATAAAGTCGTTTAAAGTCATCAGCATAATACACCTTTATCCAAACTTGAGGGGTTCTAAAGATGACAATGAGGAAGTAATTGGCTTTTCCAAGGAAAACCTATGGCCTTCTTCAGCTGACTTGGTTTTTGATATGTGGATCGAAGGGATTATCTACACTAGCACCAATCTGTATGGATGCAAGCGTTCCCTCGTCGAAAAAAACCTAGCTCATCTTAATTACTAACCCTATTTTGAACTTTTACAGGTTCGTGAATCATAGAAAGTTTACGAAAAATCCACTTTCTTGGTTTTCTCCAATCAATTATAAATCCGTATTAACTATGTTTTGGTTGTCTGGCGATTGACCGAAATTTCACAAAATTACAACTAGGATTGCTCAAGGTTGTCAATAAAGTATTGTCAACATTTGGGCCAAGTGTCCAATATATATCAAATTCAGATATTGAAAGCTAAACTGAACCGCAAGCAAAACGTTAGACTCAGGAATGTCGGTTAGACTAATTCTAGCGTCACCCAATCTCCCGATTTTGGGGAAATTTTGGGAAAGCTGCAAAAGAAAATTTTTGGGAAGTGCTACAGCATAACCCAAAACCTCCCCTGGTATGAGATTTACCCTAGAACTTTAAGTTATTTAAAGGAAATACCCAAAAAGTTTAGGGAAATTTTGGGTTTCTCTATTTGTTTACCCGAAATTCTCCAGAATTTCCCTGAAATAAGAGATTGGGCGTCCAAACAACTTTTATCCCAACGATGACAAACATCACGTTACTAGCCATACAGTACATGCCTTGAATGTTTGTAATGATAAAGGCTGATAGAAAGTTTTGTTTCATTTGGTCTTTTGTTTATTATCAATCATATTGACATGATTAATTATCACGAGGTCCTCTGAAAGAGCATTTGACTGATTGACATAGATTACGGGCACACAATTATTTATGAAACATCCAGAAAATTACATTTTGTTACCTGGGATTGGGTCTAGTATACAGATAGCCAGAGTTTATGTGGGACAAATGACCTAGAGAGTAGCGTTATATGTCAAACAGGTCACCGGCTAAGGACGTTGTATAAGCTCAAATGGTTCTGGACGGAATAGGAAAAGCTTTTCCTTAACAAGCTTTCGTTTCTAATACTAGTAGATCGTTAACACGAGGTAGGAATCCTAGGTATGTTTAACGATAAACGAGGAAAAGTATTAGGAAATTACAGTGAAATATCTCAGAGTATGTACTGTCCTTAAAAATATATTCGATCTGCACTAATAAGGACTAGACAAGCAAGACATTGATCACCATCCAGTGATCAATCAATTGTAATTACATCTCAGTCCTACAGGAGGTTAGTCACGGCTCGGATAGCACAGTGGTAACGTCTCTGACTGTGAAGCTGGCTGGCACGAGATCGAACCCGCCAGGGAGCACCAGTTCCCTAAATATTAGAGGTACACCTTGCTGACGAGTGCCAAATAGCAAGAAACCGTGATCCAAGGTTTCCTGTTGACTACCTCAAACCACCATCTAAAATTAGTAAGTAGTTTCCATTGCAGAAATCTTTGACAAACTATTCATAAAATTTATAGGCCACTAGTAGTTAAGGTATATAAACACTAGTCGGAGGGTCCACCTAGGAGATTTGAAAAACCTTGGTTCAAAACTAATGGAGCACGTGAGCTCCAGCGTCCTGGGAGGACAAATGGCGTACGAACCTATTGTTGGTCACCGGCTACCATGGTACCGCATCTTCTAACGTTGCGCGACTACCTTGTGGATTAAACCTCCAGGTCAAAGATTCGGTGAGTGGCCTTTTTAAAAAAAAACCACCTGCTTCAGTTTGGGCTCCCGGGCAGTAGCCCAGCTTAAACACAAATCAAATGATGATTACAACTGGAAAAATGATGCTCGCTTCGGTTTGCATTCTGACAAATCACATTCGAAATCATATGATAACATTCGTTTTTGTTTCTTTTATACTGCGTCACTTGTGTACTCACTTTTATTCTCATTTTGCGCATTTTATTTTTCAACTTATACAGCAGCTCGTCTATGGCGGAAAAACCCTTTCCTATCTAAACGATCTCAAGTCACTGAGTGGTCGAAAGTTGGATGCTACCACCGATTACGAAAACTGAACTAGCCTTTCCAAGACCATATATACCATTCAAACTGACCGGCTTCAACGTTCGCTCACTAATGCAGACCGGCCAACCGATAGGGTTCGCTGTCTTTAGAAAGTCTCAACATCGATGTCCTTTGCCTATCCGAGACTCAGGACTCAACTAAAGCAATACAAATTCGCTTTCCACCTGGCACTTCAAAAAGCTTGTTTCGCGTGCGTGTAGCATCGTATGGTTTAGCTGGCTATATTGTTGCAGTAAACGTTAGAGTTGAGACAACTAGTCGATTGGATCCCTATTAACAGTCGGTTATGTGTTGTTAGATTAGAAAACTAAATCACTGAGAAATCGGTATGAGAGACGCTCTCCATTCGTCATCGCCGACGCTGCGACAGATTTTAGCCCGCGTGCGATCGCGAGTGATTCTTGTCACTAGTTAAGCCCCCTTTCACATACAGTCCTTTCGACAGGTGTCTAGGGAAAAAAAGTCTTTTAGGTGACCGATGAGGACATGTTGGTTTCAGACCGGATAACGGTAACTGTCTACTGCAAATCGCTCAAGTTAACAGCTCAGGTTAAAACCTGTTTCTGGTTAGTGCTAACTTTTGGCGCAGTCATCGCCGATGTGCTACCTAGCATCCTCTTTCCGCTTATAAAACCTGGACTCAAATTGATCATATCGCGACCAACTACTGCTAACGTGGCTGTGTACAAGATTGCTGCTCCTTTTGGAGTACTTATCTGGACTCTAATCATACCCTTGTTTGCGTTGACCCTACCTTACGTTTCAGTGGCCGACAAATTCTTCAGTCAGTCACTCAGTCTGAAAAATTCTCTGCCCTAAATGGGTCAGTGTCAGAAAATTGGTTGCAGCTTCTGTTGCAACGAAATGTAAAGCCTAGCTAGATTCAAGGCTAGCTATTAATCTACCGAAAAGTATGTGTGCATTGGCTGCAATTTTATGGTGTCATGAAAATGGTGAGTAAAGTCGCTTGTGACTTCATGGAGTCCCGTTAACAGGTGCTAGGTTTCTACAGGCTTCTTACAACTCACTAAAGCACGTCAGTCTTCTCCAGATGACCACAAGTTTGACCATGAACGAAGGTTTTGGCTTAGCGAAATTGTGCAAAGCTTGCGTAAGGACCGAAAAGCCTGGTGGTCGGAGCGTGCTAACAAGTTTGAAGCAGCTTCTACTTCTAGTAACTGCCGGAAGCCATTTAAACTCATCCGCGTCACTGTCAGGAACAATTCTGGTGTGACTCAAATAATCTGTGAAGCTGACAGGATATCAGTCAATAACATCCACTGACGTTGTGGACGAAGGGAAGAGTTTTTCAAGGAGCAGTTCAACTGGTTTGCTATCCCGGCGACATCGATCAAACTATCCTGCCCTCCATGATTCGTGACAACTGATCCACTTAACAAGTCAGAAGTCCACAAGGAACTCAAACTCTTGAAACGCCACAAATCGCCAGGTCCTATATAAAAGCATCTCAGACAGAGTGAGGTCATATAACCATCTGTCTTCCTTGTTTCATGCATGCAGTGAGGTTAAACAAAGTTGCCCGATTTCACCATTCCTATCTCAACCATGCCATTGATAACGTTCCGAAAGCAGCTCTGATGGATATAATTAATTGTGGTGTGAATCTTTTGCCTGTAGAAAGACTTTTCGACATTGAGTATGCAGATGATATTGTCGTACTGTACCGTGATACCAAAACCATGCAATCTGCACTTAATCAATTGAAAATCAGTATCCGTAGATATGACATGTGCTTTGCACCTTCCAAGTGTAAACTACTCTTATAAAAATGGCAGGACTCTGGACCTATACTCACCCTAGGTAGTGAGCAGATATAGTCAAAACGTTCTGGGTAGCTTTGTGTACTGGTGGTGGCGTGAATGATAAGATCATTTCACATATAGTGAAAACCATAGCAGATTATACCAATGAGGCCATCTTTGGCACCTTTATGATGTTAGTCTGGTTGTAAAAGGTCGGATCTACAACACATCTGTGAGTTTAGTTTTACTATATGCCCGTAAAACCTGACCTTTCCGAGTCGAGGATATTAAACGACTCTGTGTTTAATCATCTCCGAATGATTGCTGACATCCAGTGGGAACCCCACATTAGTAGTTCATAGGTTCAGCACCGTGTGTTTTCACACAGCGACGATATTTCGGCTGGTGTCACCACCTTTAAACACCGACTTCGGTGGCTTGGACATATCCTGCAAATGCCATCTCAGCGAATTCCACGTCATGCATTATTTGCCGACTCTGGGACTGATTGAAAAAAGTGGAGAGTTGGTCAGTTCACGACATGATGTGGTATGAAAGAAAGATGTACAGAGCTGGCTTCTGTTGGTCACTCATGACTCCTTGGTTAGGGTCCTGGAGATGGTGCAACACATTGGCTTGAGACTATCAGAAATGGCTCGATATAGAAGCCAGTGATGATCCTTCTGTAACGTTCTTTTACTTCCTAAGAGTGAGTGTCCGGCGCTTTAACCGGGTTGGTGGACACGGAGAGTCCACCTAGGGGAGTTTAAAAACCCTGATTCTAAACCAATGGTGCACATGGACTCCAGCATCCTGAGAGAACAATTGGCGTATGAACCAATTATTGGTCACCGGCTACCATGGGACTGCATCTCCCCAAACTGCTCCACTGCCTTGTGGATTAGACTTTTAGGTCGAAGGCTTCGGGTGTGGTCGTCTAAGAAAAGCAACTGCTTCGGTTTGGGCACTCGGGCAGTATCTCAGCCCTCATACAAACACCGTATGATTTGTGTGGTGCATATGTAGCTGGTGCTCCCTTGTACCAATATCTGTGTTCAAATAAATAATAACAAATAACTTTTAACTGAAAAAATTCTTCCTGGTTGTATTTTCCCCAAATGAAGTGCTTCCGTCATTAATGTTATTATTATTTCACTCTAGTACACTAATTTCTGTTCATTTTTGTCCTTTTTTCTGTTATGCTCATCTTCCATTCTCACCTCACAAACTCATTTTTAGTGTGAAGTGCATATATATATTCTTGCCAAGCAAGAATTAGATTAGCAAGTTATCAACAGTCTTTTAAAAACCATAATAGTAATAAGATTATAATAATAATTACTTCATCGATTTCCTATTTATTGTTATTCCTTTCAGGATATTTTTCCATTGGATCGCTTTTTAAAGTTCAGTCAGATTTGACCAATTCAAAATAATGCATTATGCATTGTACAAGTATGTCTCCACAGTACTTTACTATTAGATTGATACTATAAAACGTAAATAATAGAAGAGGAATCCACACGAGTTCAATTATGTGGAATTTACTATAAATATTTTTATTTTTTTAAAAAATAGGCTTCTCTAAATATTATTCAAATATTATACAATTACACTTCTAGTCTTAGCCATTTTGGTAGATGCAGACTACTTGGTTGGGGTCCGCGTGAATATCGTAACCAATGGTTGGAGACTGTGTGTGACATGACTCAGAATCTATCACAATGGCGTCAGTGTATACACTCTCTATTTTCCCTTAAATCGTGAGATTAAAATTGCTTTACATCTTCCTTCCTACAAACTAATCCTTTCTTCCTGTACTGTATCCTTATATACCATCTTTCTCTTATATATTAACACCATTGATAACTAGTTCTATGGATTCGGTGTTCATCTTGTTGTGCTAATAATGTATAGCAACTTGGACCGATGTATATGTGTGCCTGGTCCTACGTTGTAGCTGACTAACTGACATAAAAGTAATGTTTCAAGCTTTTCTATTACTATACAAATCTCAAACTATTCCTCTATCAATATATATTGTCTAAATAAATTATCCACATTATAGGTTAACACGGCTAGACAATCATAGATTTCTTTATAGAGAAAGAAATAATCACGTTCAAACGGTTCCTACTGATTGATTCAAACTTTTAATGTGATGAATC